TGACACACTTCTTCCAGCAAGATGAACAAGCTGGGAAATAATTACTGTAATCCTAATTTGTGTGCTGAGAGTTCTTACTGTAAATTACAAACATATCTGGTGGTGAAGAAATACCTCTGGAGAAAATTAACACACGTCAATAATTCATCTCAGAGTTTGAGTTTACTATTTTGTTCTTGCCTTGCAAATACTTGCGAGTAGCTTTTCTTCTCTCATTAGAAGCAAGAAGTACTTCAGTATTTATGAAACGTTCAAATATGAAGTAGAAAAGACATGAGCAATTGTAGCAGTTGAATCTACCTCACTGTTTAGCAAAGTCTTGGATTATAATTTTTTACTCTCTGGCTATCTGTAAGGACAGAGTCCCAAATACAGATATGAGTTTTGTGGATAACATGTACATATTAAGCAACATCTGTTTGGTGTAAAATATTACTGATCATAACTTATTAATTTATAATTCGATTATATTTTATGATTTCAGGTAAAGCTTTTGCAGACAGCTACAGATTGTTCCGCTATAGTTCTTGTCCTGTTAAAAATCTCTAGTGCTACATAATCAACTCCATGCAAAAATTAAAGGAGACATTTAATATACACTTTTGTATCAGCCCTGAAGTGAAGACATGTCAGGAAAGGAAAAATTATTAACAAGAAAAGCAACATCTAAGACAATAGCTTCTGTTTATTCAGTATCATTTTCAAGTTAGTTGAGAATCTGTTTGCAGGACCTGGTAACAAGATCTAGTTTACCTTCTCCCTTATGCTAGGACCCTCAGAGTCTCATACAGGTAAAAAAGTAGTCGCCTATTTAGAAGGAAGAGATTTTTGAAGAATCCAACTGCAACAGAATCACTGAGAAAGCCAAAAGATATTTCACTTTGTAAGGCAATTTCTTCACTTCAGCAAGCAGGAAACAAATGCCTTTTTTCCAGCACCTGAGAATGTATCTGCTTGACAGTGATCATCATCAGAAGGCAGGCACACAAAGTACAATTTCTCCTGATGACACAGAAATGTGACGATTACAATTCTCTCAGAGAATTCTACCAAATGCATATTCCGTAGAATGGTGTCTTTCAATTATTTTCCAATAGATCTCATAATCTTCATTGCAGCTTGTGGTGATCTGGCATTTTGTAAACAAGAATAGCTTCAAGAATGGGAAGAGTTGTCTGATATCATTGCCAAGTTGACCTAGATTTTTCAAAAAGGGAGAACTGAAAAACTGGAGCTTCCTTGTGAGTCTGGGAGTGAACGATGTAGTGTTCAAAACTGGGGATAATGAGCCAAAAATCTGTAGTCACACTTCATTAAATATACAAAGAACTCTTGATTAGAACATCTGTGGGTCACAAGAACTCAAAAAGTAGCTTTCTGTCTTGATATAATTTTAAGTACGGCTTGCTTGAATTCATGTGGGATTCAAAGGACAAGTTGTTTTGTTTTACTTTCAGGCAAAATAGTAAAATAATATACAGTATGAAAAGATGTGGCAGAACTTTGTATAGGAATGCATTCTTTTCCTAACTATTCTATTAGCAGATGGGGATAACAAGCATAGTGTGATTCATAATCAGAAAAGAAGTTTCTGGGGATTTGGTGCTTCATAAGTAATTCTAAGTAGCTCCATTTGGTAGGTTTTATGCTGGTAGAATTTTGATCCTCATCTCCCGGAGCTGTAAACTAGCTTCAGTTCATTGCCTTCTGTGAAATAGCTCTGATTTATACAGTTGAGAATAGTTATCTTGCTTTGTCAGAATTGCTACTGCATAGTTTCTTTGCAGTAGCTCTGCAAAGACAAGCAGCAGCAGCTGGGGCTTGTTTGTAGTTGTGTTGAAGATGTAGCAGAGCAGCAGTGCAATGCGTTAGTGCAATGTCTTTTGCAATGGACTGCAGCTTACATTCAGTTTGCAGATGGGGCAGCATTCTGGAGCTAGCAAATGACAATCCTGCTACTGCAAAATAGTACCATAGTTCCCAGCATACTTCCATTTCTCATTCTGGATAGTTGGCAGAGCGTGATTTTCCCAAGGAAAAGAGAACATATATAGAATAATAAGGAAATTAGTCACTTATTTCACAGCTTCAGTGGACTGTTAGAAGAAAGTGGCAGCACTTTTTTGGGCCTTCATTAGTATCATTTATTTTTAACATTGACACTCTTGCAGCTGTGCGTGATCTAGTGATTACTCATAAGAGACCTATGCAGTGACAGGCCTACATTACATGCAGATAGTATGTCCAAAGAGCTATCAGATTGTTTTACCAGTTTCTTATCACTGTATCTAAGTTCAGCCCCTTTACTTTAGACCTTTATTATGTTAGGTGTAATGAGATAAAATGAGATCTTTTCCTGATATACAAGACTGCGTGGGAGTTTGTGCATGATCTTATGTAGAACTTCCTTTGACCAGCGCACATCACATTTATGCTTCATTTCAACAGAGAAATTATTGTCACTTCTCAGTAGATAGCTAATGTAGCTCGTAAATGGCTAAGGTTTTAGTATATCCTCACAAGGTATTAAGACAAAATCATTACTAAAATGCTCTAGAACTATTCCTTTCTTTTTCTTTGCTGATGATAAGCATTCTTTGGCTATTAAGCATCATTCTCCATGTAGTCCTATTCTTGCTTCTCCTGAAACTCTCAGGTATCCTTGTTCCTTTGATCCAAAGTTAGAAATAAATGTAGAAGAGCTATATTTCCAAGATCTCCACAGATATTCACTCACTCCAAGTTTTTTCTTAATCAGTCTTGACTATTTTTTCTGTGCCCTGTTTGAACTGTGATACACGTGAATCCCAAAAGAGACTACAGCTCTTAATCACTGGAGGTAATGTAGGACAATCTATGTTAAGGCTTCTACCTGAATACAAACCAATAATGGTACCTACTATTCTCTATCCAGGGGACACCGAGGCATGGGTTCTTCATAAATCTTATTTTCACTATTATATCACTGCCTCAGTTATAGAAGAATGGTTTATAAATACCAAGCTACAGTTTTTCAGTATAAACTCCTTTAAGGTGTTCAAATTAACACCTGTCAAGAAATGAGCTTTAGTAGCCAATGTGAATGAAAGGAGATGACAAGAATTAATGAAGTACTGTACTTAAAACAATGCTTAGAACCCTTAAGAAATTCTTGAGAGGCTCAAGGTAGGTGAGATGCCTCTTCTCAGTTGTTATAACTCTCAGCTTGTTATGTGTAAATTAGTTGTATTTGATTCTCTATTTGATGCATGCAAAAACAAATGAGAGATTTTCTGGACTGGATATTCATTGCCTGGTCCTTGTGTATCATACTGTGTGTCTCTTTAATAATTATAAAGACATGCTTACATTAGAAATCTTCCAAATATAACTCTTCAGGCATAGTTCCAGTATAGGTTATACTAAATAGGAAAAAGTCATTTTAAAGCTGAATTAAAGAGCTTAGCTTGGTAATTACTCTTGACTAGCAATTTTGGTAAACTTCCAAATGTAGAAAAATCCTAAGAGTTCAATAAAACAGCACTACTGAATGCTTCTTGGAGTTGCTCCATTAAAGTAATCATGATTGTTACTCTTTAGGACTGTATCTGTCTTCATTTATTTCTCACTTGTGGGATACGCTTCACTCTGAGCTTAACTACCCCTTCAATATGGAAAGCAAAGACATTATAATGCCATCTAGAAGTGGGATGAGACTTATCTGGTGTCAAAACAGGCAGTTTTGTGGCACGGGATAGAAGCTGTAGGCAGATACAAACCTGGGATGTCTGTGAGGTCTGGGGCACTGGCATGGAGCTGACCTCCAGTGCCTCCAAGGTTGGTCACTGCATTTGTCCTTTGCACCTGGCTTTATTGCTCGCTTTATCAAAGCATTAATTGCCTTGAGAATTACGATTTAGAGAGAGAATTTGCAGTCATACTCAGAGTTTTAAAAATCACTTTCACAAAAAGAGAGATGAAAGAAAAGATAGCAGAAGATACAATCGTGGGTATAAAAGATTCTTCTGAGTCGTAAGACATCTCCAGGAATGCTGAAGTGTACATCCATTGACTTTTAGTTTCAGGTCATTGCTGCATCTGTGAACATGTTGGATTCACTAGTTTGCAGACGATAGTTTTTCATTAAAAAAAACAATACAGTTTTTTCAACTGAACAGATGCTTTTAAATGGCGATTATCTTCATTTCATCACTTTCTAAGTGAAAACATAGCTTTAACCTGAAAATTAAAAATATTCCATTTAGAAGATACTGAAATGGAAGCCTTTTTAAGAGTTTGTTACATCTTGAATGAATTACGTGCTGAAAATGATAGAATTCCCTGGAACTTTTAGTTCCACTTCTAATTTTGCAGAGTTTGCCTTTTATATAAAAAAATCAAACAAAAAAAATGTTCTAAAACTGTCACTCAGTGCTGTTGTTTCTTGGACTTAATGTTTATTATGCCTGTGGGCCAGATTCTGAGAGGGAATCTTGACTAAGTTGTGATCATCCTAGTGGATGTGATTCAGCTCTTGACCGCAGGACAATGCCCTCCATAGTAGTGACAAGAGTGATTAATATGCAAGGCACTGCCTATTCAGGACCATGCACTGCAGCATATTTAGGTCATAATTGGAAGAAGGGTATCTCCTATAAATTTCTGTGTGATGGTAAAGGAGGAGGAACGGTCTTATAGCTGCATGTGATTTAACTGACAATGCACTGATTAACATTAGTGCATTAATATATAGCCACCCTTCCAAATTCATAATCACCCTGATGCTCTACTTCTGTTGTAGATGTGGTTCAATTACATCCCTCTCTCATCATGAATTTTATTTTTTATTACAATTGTTATTTTTTAATACTTACATTGTGTTCTAAGAGAAAAAATCCCACTGTGAATAGAACCACGGGTTCTGCTCTATGATAACACCACAGCTGCATTTTCAAAATGTGGCTCCCCTGGCAGGGGTAAGCTACCACCTGCTGCAGAGCAGTGTGAAGCTGTGGGACGCAGCTGGAGCATCTTGTGATAAATGTTTCTCCTGGTTTCCTGTAATGGCAAGGGAATCCTTTTGGAAAGTGTTTCTTCACTGAAATAAGTTTGTTAAATTTTGTTCTTTTTGCACTGTTAAATAACAACAGAGAGGGTAGAAGAGCTATATTTTGTTTTGCTATTTTGTTAACACTCTAAAGTAGCAGACTTTTTAAAGCAAGTGCAATAAAAGCTTGCCAGAATAATTAGAGAAAGTATTTTTTTTGTAGCTGCTGGCAGAAGTGAAGCAGAGCCAACCAGGATTTCTTCCACCTACTTCAGCTGAAGAAATAAAACCACACCAGAGCTGCTTTCCCATGTGAAATTGAAAAGACTCCACTTTTCAGCAGAACACGAAGGTAAATTAGTCAGTGGAGTTCTGTAATGCATAATGATAAAAGATGGTGGAATAGCTGGTGGTTTGGAATCTGATAAGTTCCCTTTTGTATGAAATAAAATACTTCAGTGTTGAATGGCATTTAATAGTATTTAACCTAATGTATGATTTTTCAATGTATTTTCACAATATGAGCTTATGTTCTTCTGGCTTAATTATTTTTGCCAGCTTGACAAGCTTATTTGAGAGCTACAAGACAGAGCCTAAAGGATTTAGCATATATCAAACAAAGTGTGTCTGTGAGCCTGTCTGGTATGCAGGTAACAGAATTAATGACACTGTAGATGGGTCTGGAAGATTACATTTGGTAAGCTCTCTGACTCCATGAGGGAAAACCCACCATTACCATTAAGTTCTAGCAGTGCATGTTCTGGACCTGTTATGCTAAGAATTCCATAATTAAATCACATGTATTAAAATGGAGGTTTAATGTCTTTAAACAATTAGAACTCAAGTGCTATATGTTTTTAATGATCTTCATACATATTCAAAACGTGACATTAAAGTGTACAGCCAAAAAGGAGTGGAAAAAAGCACTTTAGCTTCCTTTTACTTCTCTTGAAGGAACTGTGTAATAACTTGGAGACCCTATCAGCTGCAATTTTGTGCCTTTATTCCATAGTAAATTGGAAGTAATTACAGAAGCATTAGTGAAATTATACCAATGTGAAAGCAGAAATATGAAATCTTTTTGTTGCACCAAGTTTTATTGGCTGTGCTCAGTCTGCACTTTGGCATCAGAATGGCAAATGTGCATGGATGGAATAGGAGCAGAGAGAAAGCAGGTTCTAAGGCAAGGCTAAGCCACTGCTTACTCATGGGCTGGAGAGCACTAACATTTTCTTATTTTTATGGATGTATTGCAGTGTTTAAGAGATGCACACAGAAATGTTTTTAACAAGATCCATCTCCTGTTCAGAAAGTGGCCATCTGATGAGAAACCCTTGCTTTGTTTAAATCAAGGCAGTGAAGATAATGAAACTTTACTCATTTAAAACTATTGTGACTGAAGGAGGGGATATGGCACAGAGTTTTCAGTTCTGGTTACAGCTTTAAGCCATGCTGAGTGTTTCTTATTGTGAAAAAGCCGTATTTTATATTGTAATAACTGCTCTGGCTGCGTTTGTGTGATCATAGATGTATAGATAGGATAGTTTAGCTCTGTTTCCTCTCTATGGCAAAACAATGAAGCCAATTATATTAGGCATTTATGAGTATTTATGAGGACCTTGCCTTTAGGAAGCTGTAGAAGTTGCTGATGAGAGTGACTTAAAAAACATTCAGCCAAAGACTCACTGAGTACAAAGAAAAGTTCTGAAAAAGCTGTCCCAGTTTTGCTTGTATCCTCTTGGTCTTTCCCTGCAAGTTTTATTAAATTCATTTCAAAGCTCATTCCAAGCTTGGAATTAAGACAGGAAGACAGAAAACAAATGCATTGCATGTTGTAGTTTAGGGGACTCATCTACAGCTATGGCCAACTTGACAGCCCGTTCTGTCCACCACCTTAAGGTGTCTTCCTGCTGAGAACAATGCCTTGGCATCAGGAAGCAGCATTCCCACTTAATGAGTTTTCATTGTATCTTGAAAAACTACTGATGTTCACTCCATACTTGTTTGCTTCTTCTTTTTTTCTTCTTTTGTTTCAAATTTCTGGTGTGGTTATGCTAGGAGAGATGTATTTTCCAAAGTTTTTGACACAGCCAAAGAAAACTGCATCTTTAACAAAATCCACATGAGCTTCCTGTAGTGTACTGTAGTTAAAACTCTACAAAAGCTGAGGTTTAAAATTGAGCTGACTGATCATGTTTAATTTAAATGTCTTAATGGGTATATTTTAAATAGAACATGGGTACATAAATAAATCTGGTTTTTCTTTGTATAAAATATGTCAAAATCTCTATGACTTTGCTCCCCAAAAGCATGCTATGTGCTCACAATTCCACTGAAGTCAGCAATGTGAATTACATGCTTGAATTACCTGCTTGCATTGAAAGGTCTGCATCAAGAGCTTAATCTTAAATCAACTTTTTTTTTTTTTTTTTTTTTTTTCACCAGAACAAAAACATTTTGATGGATGATGAATATTTCCCTATTCTCTCGTTCTTTTGGGACACAACAACAATCTTTTTTCCTTCTCCATCTGGCATAGTGTATTCAAAGATCCCAAGCTATGTGAGAATTAGTTCCAGCTAGCGCAAAGTAGGGCATTACTTACACCACTGGGGATAATGAAATGGCTGGATGTGTTAAATCATATTAAATTAGGTCGATTTTTGCCATTAATTTCAGTTCTAATCTAATTTTGGATCATCTAGCAGATTCTGTTTCTTTGTATGCTCCCTAGAACAAAGTACTATCCAAACTTTGAGGAGAGTTATTTGAAAACATTCAGTGAACAGCAACAAATTTTAGGGATAACTACGTACTTGGAATTGTGAAATCTTCCATCTCCCTTCTGTTTTGCTAGATCAGCCTTTTTGATGAGAAAAATGTGTTGAAAAATTGTGAAAATGCTTTAGTTTTATGTTTCATGATTGAAGTGGTCCTTTTTCTATGACTTGGTGAATGGAAAAATGGAACATTTATTTTTTTGAAGATGTCAACATGTAAGAATTCCTTTAAAGTTTGATACTGACTTTTGTTTTCAGTCATCCTTGATTAAACAGTTCCTCTTGAAATGATTGGTTTGCAAAATGGACAGAGCTGATACTGGAAGAAGGTAATCATTAGGTTTTTACATGGATCACACGTTTATGGGAACTCATTAAGCTGAGTTGTGGTCTGCTGTTTGAATGCTAACTGCATTTTAAGGCTAATTTTCAAATTCCTGGCCAAAAAAGGTTTGAATGGGCTTATGACATGTCTTTTGATAGTCACTGTCAAGCAGCAGCAGGAATGAGTCTGGTCCATGCTGCAATTAGAAGTATGAAATTCTGACTCCTCTCTCTTTTTAGACTGGGTTCTATTGAAAGATCATGGACTTCAGTCATTTAGAAACATACCAGACCTGAAGTATAGGTGAAGAATCACAGTTAAATATATAGAAGTAGGAAAGTATGAAAATGAAATTATTTTTACAAGAACTAAGCCATAAATTTGGCTTCAGACTTTCAAAACAACGAGGTAATAAATACTGATGAAAATGTAATACTGATGAAAATGCAACTTCCTGCATTCGTGTTGCCCTTCACCTTGGCTCATTTCCTGTCCTTCCAGGCAACAGCTGCTCTTCAGAAAGGTGCCTTAGAAATACTCATTTACAAACATGGGGAAAAGTCTATCAGTGCTTGCTCTGATTTCACAGCTGTTCCTAAAAAAGGAAGAGGAAATACTGCTGTTATTTTCTGTTATATATCAGCAAACATTGTCTATATTAATGAGATTGATTAGTCATTTAGAAGTTAAGCAGATTAATTAGATGCTATCTTAATTTTTGTGTGTTAATGAATATTTTATATTATACATTAATATACATATAATTTTCAGCATGTTTCCTTCCTGGTGCTTCTGTTTAAAAAATATTAATAGCTCAAAATCTTTATTAATATCTCAGTGGCACACATTCCAAGCAATAACTCAAAAATTCAGTTTTGTTTCATATCATCTGCTATCAACTGTTCTTGCATGGAGTACTTTCCTCCTCTTCCACCTATGAAATTGTATTCAGGTAAACTTTTCTCAGATACCAAGAGGTATTCAGGGGCTCTATCTGTAGTTTGACACCAACTGATCCGGTTTTGTTTATAGAGACATCCGAGTTCATACAGTTCTGATTCCCTTACTATGGGGTCCAACAGGTCCTGTCCTGTTTTCTCAGAAGAGCTTTGCTAGATTTTCATTTTGGAGTATCTCACCTCTTCAAAATTTTAAGTCTTATTCAGGTACAGCAAGTACTCAGGAATGCATTGCTAGCTGACAGCATAGCAGTCTATGACCTAAGTGTTTAGCTTGCACTAAAGAAGTAGGAACTGTACAGAGTTTACAGATCGGGTCTGGTGCACAAAGTCTTATGAGAAGTGGCTGTAAGAACTGTAATTGTTTTGTCTGGAAAAGAGGAGGCTCTGGGGAGATCTTATAGCTCTCCACTACTACTGGAAGTGAGGTTATGACGAGGTAGGAGTTGGCCTCTTCTCCCACATAACTAGAGGTAGGACTAGTGGTAATGGACTCAAGTTGTGCCAAGGGAGGTGCACGGTAGATATTAGGTAAAATTTCTATTCTAAAATAGTGTTCAGGTGCTGGAACAGACTGCCCTGGGAGGTGGTTGAGTCACCACCCCTGGAGAGGTTCAAGAAGTGTTTAGATGTTGTGCTGAGGGACATGGCTTAGTGGGGAGATATTGGTTGTAGATGGATGGTTGCATTAGATGATTTTGGAGAGCTTTTCCAATTTTGGTGATTTTATGATGATTCTAATGTGACAAACTCTTGGAATATTTGGATGTAATCTGAGAAATGGAAGTGTAACTACGAAGGGAGATTTAAAATCCACTGTTGCCATTTTGATGCTTTTTGGGCACAAACAATAGATCTGCCAGTGCTTTTACACTCATAGAAATACAGAGCTTTGATCCACAATCTGCTAAATCTTAGGAAGTCAATCCATTCCCAGAAACATATAATGCTCATTACCTGAGTGTGTCCATTCTATTTTTATAATTTCAAAAATAACTTAATTACTTTCTGGATAAATATATAAAATATTAAAGAAAATGTTAGCTGTTCTCAAAAAGTCAGCATATCCTTCCTTCCTGTTCCCCAAAGCAAGGAGTGCTGATAAATGAGTTTCATTAGTCGGTGTAGCACTGTGGCAGAAGGGCCTCCAGCACCTCATCTTCATAGCCACAGCCTAATCTTATACTGCTTTGCTCCATGCATAATGAATCTAAACTGGCCTTACTGGATTCCATGCAAACTTGGGGAGAAACTCTCTGTCTTAGTGAGTGACAACTTGCTAATAGAT